ATAATATAAAAATAGGTGGCAAGTCAAAGTCAGCAATAACAGAGTTGCATACACAAGGCTTCCAATCTGAGCTTTGAGATGAAAACTCCTAATTCTGGTTCTTGATGGATAAGTCTGTCACTTTCTGTTTTTCTCATATTCATTTTTTTTACTCTTAAATTCTTTATATTCTGAAAATGAAAACAAAGGGCCAGTTTTCTAAAATTCTTACGCAAATGAACTCAAACAAATTTCCTGTTCTTCATCCTCATATGCAGTGCAGTCAATAGCTGTCATCATCCCCCAATGAATGTGGGCCCTTCAGATATGGGGGAAGCATCTAAGCACAAAGAGAGATGCCAGCAGTTTATATTTGACTCTACCATCAATTCAGCAATAGGTGGTGGAAAGGGTTTGGCTTCTATAGTAGTAAAGTTTTCTGTAACACACTCATAAGACAAAAGTAGGAGAAAGGCCACCATATGTTTTTAATGAAAATGTCTTAGGTTTAATGTCAGTATTAAATGGAAGTGTGTTGAGAAAGTCTTCAGATGCCAGCCAAAATATGTGGCTGTCTCAGATTGTGGAATGGGGAAAGAGTATACCTCACATCATGCTGAACTTCCAATGTCCTCAGAACCTGTGAGGGTTAACTATGCTGATGTCCAGTGCAACTGAATGGAATAGTCCTCACATTCCTTCCAATTTATTGTGTAGGAAAGAGACAAGCTCTGCAGTCTCATGCCAGTTGTTAAGGGCTCAGTGCCAGCTAACATTAAGCCAAGACAAGTCGTCCTCAGTCTTTTGCTTAGTGCTGGCATTTAACAGATGAAAAGGATGGGTCAACACAGGCAACTTGGCAATGTCAATGCTGTATTAATGACATCCTCGACAACCATGATCCGTTGGAGCCATGTTAATAGTACCAGCAATGCCCTTAAAATGAAGCAGTGGCCTCAAGTGACAGATTTCTGTGGTTAGGAAAGAGGAGACTTGTTCAAAAGTTATTACTACTAAATTTATTATTATTCTGTTTTTACTGCCAGGTCTGCAGTGAGGCACGTATGGGATGGTTGATGTGGGTTTTTCAGGCTCTTTGGCTGTGTTCTGAAGGTTGTTCTTCCTAAGAGTGCTGTCCTCTGAAGATGCTGGCCACAGAGACTGGTGAAACGTTAGGAAGAACAACCTTCCGAACACGGCCAAAGAGCCTGAAAAACCCAGAACAACCATTAGATCCCGGCCGTGAAAGCCTTCGTAAATACACGGATGGGATTTTGTTTGCTTCACGTGCCAGAAATATATACCTTGATGTGCAGGAATGCCATGTATTGTCCTACCTCTTAAAGCCAAATATCTTGAGCCAAGCCAACTTCTTGTAATTCCCCAAACATGTGCTACTCAAATGGGCAGCTAACATTTTTAGAAAGAAGGAGAAGAGGAAGGAAAGTAAGAGGACACCACAGGTGTTTTTAAAAGATATGACAAAGTTTCAAAGTCAAAAAGCAACAATTAATAAATAAAAAATACAAGCTAAATACCAAGCAGTCACACTGTATGTAGCTATCCAGTTCTGCCTCTATTCTGGTAGAGTGATAGGTGGGGAAATATTCTTTTTCATAGACCAATATGGTTTCTAAGCTTTGTGCAGATAATTTTCAGCAGCCTCTCAAAATGGCTGTCAGTCTTAGAGATCTCTGGGACAGAGTTATGAACAGACTAGAGCAATATTAAAATCTGTGCATAGGGAACACAGCTGTTGCTGCCAAACATAGTTTTAACTGCACTATGTGATGATGCTTTGTGTCTCTTGATAGGGCCTCTCATGAGAAATTTCAGAAAGGAAGAATGAATAAGTAGCCCTGATTAAGAGGAGGCTAAACTTCCTGAAAGTTAGATTTCTTCCTCTTTATCCCCTATTTGACTGGGCCCATCCCTAAACTGCTCGAGGTTGGCTTGCTGATTGCTGATGTATAATTTAAAATACTACCACGCACACAGGGGGAATATTATTTTAGACACAATACACGCCCTGAAATGCTTCAAACAGTTGCTCAGTTTTTCCCCTCTGGCTGCTTATTTCTGATTCAGTTTCTCCACCCCTCTTTGCCTCCCTTTTCCATTGTAATGAAGACTCTTGCCTCTCCTTTCCACTACATGGAAGTACTTAAGGCGTGTTCTGCTCCTTATCCTCCTGCCTAGACTGGGAGAGGAAAGTGTTCACATCTGGAGATCATTTCATTGAGAGGCTCATTTCTGAATTCCTCCCTTCCTTTGAAACCCAATCCACAGGACACCTCTCCAAATGAGAGTGGGCTTTTCCCCCCCTCTCTTTTTTGACAGTATATGGGAACTTTGAGAACTAGGGCAGCTACTAGGAATGTTCAGCCACAGAACTGAAGTAAGGATCAAATCCATATGTTACACAAATCGAGGGGAGGGAGTCTGCAAAGGGGTTTCCACTGAATTTGTAGAGTCAATGTTCAAATTACCGTTCATGCTCTTGCAGCTCTTCAAGGTGTGAAGTTCCATAGGATGATTGCAGAGGTCAATGCCATCATAAGGTGCATTCGACCAGATATGATTCCACTGTACATACTCACTTTTATAAAAGCTGTCTTGCCTGTTGAAATTGAGATGCCACCATGGGAAAGAGACTTATTTCAATAACACTGGGGGGAAAAAGATTTACTCTTTTTTGATTGAACAAAAGATAATACATGAATAACTAACTGCAGAAGAAGTGGGCTGCAATCTACTTGTTTATGAGTAAGCCTCACTGAATACAATGGGATTTATTTTTGAGAATGCATGTAAAAGCATGTCTTGTTAGAAAAGGTTGCTTTTTGTTTAAAGCTGCAGTGAGTTTACTTTGTAGTTTGTGGATTAATATGAATCATCATCAGCCCTTGGATTACTTCATTCTCGGTATAGCTGGTTATGTGTACATCATGAACTGTCTGAAGAAAAATATTCGTAGAGTTCTATAGAAGATGTGAAGATTTGAATGGCAAATAATTTCAGTGGTAAACCTCATTCTGAGAGAAGATGTTTAGCGAATGTACCACCTGCTTTTCAGGGTTCCTCCCCCCACAATTAATTTCTAGGGCAATTTATAGAAATCACACCAAAACAGAAGTAAATGCACAAAAATGTATAAACAACAGGATAAAGTTGTAAGCAAAACAA